TTATTACTTATTATTGTACATTATCTGCTGAGTACACAAATTATATTTATTATTTATAATTTAATATTTAAATACCAACCTGCAAAAATGGTCCAATCTACCTTTTCCAACYATAAGACCTACYCACCCAACCACYCRTTAATATTTTTGTGAATCACGTGATTCAAATATACTCCCTTCGAGCCGCCACTGGTAGCAGGTACATACAGTGATAYTAATATTTGATACTGTATGGTTTATATACTTATAATTAAAACGATTATAGGTATTTAGATTTGTATTGCTCATTATTGTATTAACTTAATTACGTACATATTATATTAAGTATAAGAACTTAGGGTGGGGGGGGGGTTACGCTAAATTGTTATCTGCTTCACTGCGTCTGTATATATAGTCTCATATAGATCTTACATCATGTGGTAAAATCATACTTTCTGTAAGTACCTAGTTCCAAATAGTAGGCTTCAAAAATAATATCACAGTACAAATTATTTACTTATTATATTATAGAAAAAAAATAAATATTTTGTTATATTATACTAACAGACTATATAGTTATTACAGGTAGGTAGTAGGTACTTATAATTTTTAAGATATGATATTATTTAATATTACCTATATTTTCCATTGGTTTACAGACATATATAGAACCAAAAAAAAAAAAAAAATGAAATCGTTCTTAAAAATTAAAAATAAGTAAATTAATTGGCTTCTATATCGACATGAGCCTCAAATTGCATAATTGGTCAATAATTCTTAACATTTTATTAAGGAAATATATATGTGCAGAGTGCACTCGACGTCGTGTTAAGAGGACGCCACACCCGCATGTGTTGTCTCCGTCTTACAAACGTATAACATAGCAAAATCTGTTTAGCGCGGTACAACTGTTCTACCTCAATATTTATAAAGAATTTTCAAAATTTCACAACGCATAGGTAAGAACTTTAWCTGTGTCATAGCGTTGTTTTTTTTTTTATAACATAAATATAATTAAAGTTATAATCTTAAGAAAATACATTTATTTTTTCATTAAATTACTTAAAATTATTGGTTTGTGCTATCAAAAAAATAACAACGCTATGACACAGATAAAGTTCTTACCTATGCGTTGTGAAATTTTGAAAATTCTATTATAAATATTGAGGGAGAACAGTTGTCCCGCGCTCAACAGATTTTGCTATGTTATACGTTTGTAAGACGGAGACAACACATGCAGGTGTGGCGTCCTCTTAATTGTATTCTGTGATGCCCTCGCTTTGTGTATTGGCTTAGTGTAATTTTACCATCTTTTTACTTTATACTCCTGAATGCTGATGAGAACTCAATATACCTATAACCCATGTAGGTATGCACTTAATAGGTTTTGTTCGGCGTGTTTGTTTAAATTTTTAAATATATATTATACATAAGTACATCTAATAATTTGTATTCTTATGTTTGGCAATAAAGAATATAATTGTATTAGGCCATTAAGAGGACGTTTCACCCGCATGTGTTGTCTCCGTCTTACAAGTGCGTAACATTGCAAAAACTGTYTYRCGCGGGAAAGAACCRRGAARGMTACAGTTATAACTAAGAAACRAMATTTTCAYCACATAAAAARGAGAATTTTGTCTGTGCAATATCGTTTTTATTTTTTCGATATCGCTTATACAAAAAAAATTTTTATTGTTTTATAATACATCAATTTTGCGTTTTTTAAGCATGAATAACTTTTTTTGTAGTTTTGATATCGAAAAAATAAAAACGATATTGCACAGACAAAATTCTCCTTTTTATGTGGTGAAAATTTCGTTTCTTAGTTATAACTTATAACTGTATCTTTCTCAGTTCTTTCCCGCGCAAAACAGTTTTTGCAATGTTACGCACTTGTAACTTACAAGTTTTAAGAGGTAGACAACACATGCGGGTGAAACGTCCTCTTAAGGAGATCATTATATTAGATAGATACTAGTATCTATTAACTATGCGACGTTAGATTGTGGTTAATGCTTTAATTAATCGTTTTTAAATTAGTATAGTACCTACCATTTGTACCTACTTATGACTAATACAATAAATTATATTAATAATTATAAGATTTATTAWTACAAGTCTAATTATTTATGAATAAAATTTAAAAAAAATCAATACGTAAACACTAATCAGTAATAATCACAAWTGATAAATTTTTATCTAAAATATAAATGTTATTATATCTAAGATACTTTTTATATATTATTACTAATATAGTAACAAAAAATATGTTTTACTAATTCTGTATGCCCATAAAATAGTTATTACTATAAAAATCTATTGTATATACTATTATATACCTATACGGCTATACATAAAGTAACTTGATATAACTTAATAAATTGCATATTATACCTAACCAAAAGCTGTGTAATATTGTCGTAACTTCGTAAGTAAATGTAAAATTCTTGAAATCAATAGGTACGATTCATCAYAATTCAAACATAAAGACAAAAAATTAACTCGTTTCTAAAAATGACTCCTCTAAACTGCTAGCTACCTAATAATTAATATATTTTTATTTTTACTATAAGTCATATTTTACTAATTATTAGCCAATATAGTACCTATTACCTAATATAACTTCAATAAAATTAATTTAAAACTTATTTCTAAATTTTTAAATGAAATTAGGTTTTGCGTGTGGTACCTAGTTTTTTGATAAGTATTATTTTTGATGAAATAATCATTTTTTTAAGTATTACGTATTTGTAGACATTATTATTTATTATATAGAGCTATATCAAATGTTTTACCTACTCAATAATTATATCTGAAAGTAATTTCATACGTCATACCTATTACCTATACACATATATGATTCTATTTGAAATTATTGTAAAAACGTATGTCAACTTGTAACGAATTAATTGATTTTTGATTTTTTAGACGTAATGTGCCACTCTGAAAAGTCCTCGCCGTCGGCTMCTTTATCAGGTGGAAACTACTTGCATAAGAAATTCAAAAAAATCGCCACAGCAGACGATTATCCTGAAGAGGTTATTCCTACGCCTGTATTATCTACTGATGAATATTCTATCGAAGGTGTATGGCGACATAAATGTCCATACTGCAAAACTGTATGTACCAAGCCAAGTGCGCTCGCCAAACATTTACAAGTGCACTCTGATGAACGTCCTTTCCCTTGTGAAACGTGYGGATTTGCTTTTAAAACAAAAAGCAATCTTTCCAAACACTGTAAATCTCAATCCCATACAGAACGGTTAGCAAAAGAAGAACCGGAAGAAGCTAAGCCAAAAATATACAAGCCGAAATTTCGCACAGCTTCAATACACACCAAATTTGAAGAATTAAACACATCAGAAAACCATTCCGAACCGGTTCAGGTATTAGGAAATAAACAAGAAGAAGATTCTTCTCAACCTTTAAATTTGTCCGTGGTCGATGCAGTTAAAAAATGTCAAGAAAAAATTACTCCAGTTGTAGTGAATGGTCAAACCGAGCTAAAAGGTGTGTACAAATTGCTATTGAATCAAATAATTAAGTGTAATGAGAATAAGGAACAGCCTTTTTGTGAAATGTGTGGCTTAAAATTCAATAGTCAAGAAGACTTGGTTAGCCATATTTGTGATAGAAGTCCAAATGGAGTTAAATATCCAGAGCCCAAGACTGTAGCCTTGCCTCTCACGTCACCAGGACCATTATTAGGGCGCACACCATTAGTTGAGTTTCACAGACCAAAGGAACCTGATGTACAAAAACCTGTTGTTTTGCGAGTGGGTAATTTGATACAACAACAGGAAATGATTGCCATTTTCCAGACCAGCCGTGCTGTACCTTTTGTGCCAGGTATTCCAGGACCACATACAGCAATGCCTCGTCAATTACGACCGCAATATGAACCAAAACAGACTGATTCTCCACCTTCAAAGAAACCAAAAGTAGATGAAAAATGTCTTGTTTTAACATCTCATCATCAGGTAATAATAGTGTAGATGCATTCATTGGGTTATACCTATTTTGTTTTTTACTTAAGTTATCTATATTTCTTTTGAGAATAAATGATAACACAGAGTTTACTTGAATTGTGCATAATATGTTTGATTATACTTATATTATTTAATAAGAATAAATATTATTTTACTTAATCATATCTTTAAAGAACCAATACATATAAGTATTTTTAAATTTGGAATTTATCCAATAATTAGAAAGGATGAGTTAATTTTCATGGTCACATAGACATAAAATKGTTCTATATAGTTAAGTAGTTTTTCATTTAATTGTTATATCATCAAATAATTAAATAGTTTATTAAGTTCTTATATTTTTTATTAATTTTTATACCCTTCTAATTTAAACCAACTAAATGTATTAACTTATATATACTTAAAGTTATTACATAAAATAAGTTGAGTTAGATGCCTATAAGTTATTATAAATTTAATCTTTCAATAGACATGTTTTACATTTTATATTTACTTTACATGTCTATATATTATTAATATATATATAATTAATTTAAAAATACTAAAAATTTGGTAAATGTTTTTATATCCATAATTTCTTATTAATAATTGAAATTTAACCAAAGCAAATAATTTTTACACATAGTAAGAATAAGACATATGTAAAAGTATATTAAAAAAAATTGAAATTTAATTCCCATCAATGTTGATAAACATTAAATATTCATCATCAATGATTATTTGTTTGAAGTAAACAGGTCTTCTTGTGTTAATTTATTTAAAATATTACATTGTTAGCCGTTGACATTGAAGTTAATGGTGCTAATATGGTTATAATAACCAGTAAATGATGTAAGGTATATTCTATAGCTATAATTTTATATTTTGTGACTTATTCATCATCACCTTGATTAATGTTTCAATAATTATTACTATGTATGATACATTATACATTTAACAAATTATACTAAATTATATATTATATTTGTAGAATTGAACGCATTGATTTCTATTTCTGTTGATTAATTTAAAATAATGGTTCATATTTAAACAAAAAATTATATATTTTACACAATTCAAATTTGTTTAATTACTTGGAATAACTGTCAACATATTTTTTAGATTCCAACAACTACTACAGCTACTAGTACAGTGGCTCAGAAATTTGTACGACCAACCTCATTGGCATTCAAACCAGGATCATTCAGTACTAACCGCATGTTGCCCATGGTTAGTCCAGATACTCCAAGACCAAAAAAGAGCTACCAACAATTATATCTTAATGGCCATGCATACACTTATTTGGGATTAAAATGTACGACAAGAGTATTTTTTTGTACCCTGACCAAATGTCAACCCACATACACAATTCTTCCTGAAGTTAATACTATATCAATGTATTCAAATTGGAAGGTATATAAATATTGACACATATCTATAGATTACTTCATTATACATATTTAAAAAAATCAATGTAGAGTTATTATTTTGTAGATTTGTGAATATCTTATATAATTTATTAATGAATAATGTACATTTTACATATAGATTTGTTCTGATATGGGGAGTAATATGCTGGGTGTTCGAGGAATGGATTTATATGACTCAAGTCAGCATAACCACGGGTATACACAAGCTGGTCAATCTCATGATTATATGGTTGCCCATTCATCTTACAAGCACCAACAGTTGCCTGATCAAACCAACAGAGTTGAAACCAACTCTTTTGGTAAATTAAAGATCTGCCCTGGAGGTTTTGAATCCAATGAAGATTATGTATATGTTAGAGGCAGAGGAAGGGGTCGATATGTATGTGCCGATTGTGGCATTCGTTGTAAAAAGCCTTCAATGCTCAAGAAACATATCAGAACCCATACTGACTTAAGGCCATATACTTGTACACAATGTACCTTCAGGTAATATCTATTGAAAATGTATTACATGCCATATTTTTAATAACATTATTATTTTATTTTCATAGTTTTAAGACTAAAGGAAATTTGACAAAACATATGAAGTCAAAAGCACATTTCAAAAAAGGAGTTGAGCAGGATCAAAATCCAATGTCCATGGATGATATTAAACAACTAGATTCTGAAGATATGGAAGACTACTCTGAAGATAACATGGATGAAGACGATGATATTGATGATGAAGATGATGATGAAGAAGCAGTAGATAAACACGGATGGCGTAAAACTCAATCAGATTTTGATGCTGCACGTTCATTATTAAGACTTTCACAAGTCTRTCCATCACAAATACCTCAGTCAAATCATGCAAAAGCTGGTATATTGCCTTATGACCACAGACCTGTGTCATATCCATATCAATCTCTTTTAACTCTGACTGAGTCTGAAGTAAAAAATAATCACCAGTATCAGAAGCAAAATAGTCCACCTTTACAATCTGGAAGCAGTCTTTCAGTCCCACCACCATTACCTGTTCCACCCACACCTGTTTTTAATAATTCAGATATGATTCAAACAGCACCTGCAGATTTGAGGCATAATGTAAATGCAATTCTAAGCAGTAGCCCAAAACCAATGGTTAATAAACCAATGGATCTATCACGTTTTGGAAGTAGTAAAGAATTAGAACAAATAAATAAACCACAAGTAATATTACAATCCYCCAAAAAACCTAAAGCATTATTTCGACAACCTACTACTAATGGTCCATCACAAAAATATACCAGGTATGTCATATTTTATTACATAAATACTTATTATGACTGATGCTGACTAATTATGGTTTTTAGTATTCTAGAAGATGGACGAAGTAAGTGTATGGTGTGTGATAAGGTATTCAATAAACCTAGTCAATTACAATTGCACATTAATATACACTATTTTGAACAACCATTCCGATGTGAAGGTTGTAAAGAATCATTCCGAACCAAACATTTGCTTCAAAAACATTTGGACTCTATCTCACATTTGAATAAGGTGAGATTATTATATTCGATTCTCATAAATGTTTAGTTAATATTATTTTTCTCCAGGTAAATATGATGTCCACTCAAGGGCCTATTGTTAAGAATCCAAGACCATTTGAATGTGCTGATTGCCAAGTTGGTTTCCGAATTCATGGACATTTAGCTAAGCATTTACGATCCAAAATGCATATACTTAAATTGGAGTGTTTAGGAAAGATACCATTTGGAACATATGCTGAAATTGAACGCTTAGGGTTGAACTTGAATGATATTGATACTACTGACTGTGACAGTGCGTTAAAGAGTTTACAAGCTAGCCAAAAAGCCACTTAACAATAGTCAATACAAGTAGGTTTTCTTCAAGTTTATTAAACGTAAATGTTATAATAATTTACTACACACAATGTTATTATAGGTCAATGTTAAATTCTTGTATGGACATTTTTCAAAGCGCTCAACGTGAAAAAAAGACTGATCTCTAGAGTTCGACGGATTGAACAACTAGAAAACTGTGATAACAAGAGACATGAAACCACCTAAAAGGTTTTAAAGGGATTTTGGCCTAATCACAGACCACTAAGAAACTGAGCGATTACACATTTTTTACCCAACCTATTTATATAAATACTAATCTATTCTTATATTTATTAATATATGAAAACTGGGTAAATAATAAAGAATTTGTAAAACTATACATAATAAGTTTTAATGTATTAAGTAAGAATATATATTATATGTATAGTAAATAGTAATGTAGTCCAATTACATTTGGTAAAAATTGTATTTATCGTATTAGTAAGACAAGTGGAACATGTAGCCTGTTAAATGATGTCAATTCTCATGATGATCTTCCTTGAATTTGTGTTATGGATTTTATTTTTTAGGAATTTGATTTAAGTATTTAACTATAGGTTAATTATATTGTATACTTTTTTTTTTTGGCAACAATAATGCTCAGTTGAATTGTGGCTATATGTATTATTTTTTGGTCTACTGTTACTGGAATTTGAAAATATCTTTTGATAAACTGTCATAATTAAAATAAACTCAATATCCATTGAAGAACATCATTGTTTTATGATGTTTAATACATTTATTAAATTATTAATYAATTTACAAATTGTATTGAAATCTAATATTTGCTTTGATTTTTTCATTGAAATCAATCAATGTGAAATTATGATTCTCTTAATTCTGTTGACCACACTCAACTATTTTTTTTTTTTTTTAAATATTTTTTTTAATAGTGCAATACTCCAGTCTGCTATACCTAAGTCTCATCTCTATGTCATAAATACCATAACTGTTAAGTCTCTCTAGTACTAGGCTTCACTAAAATAATTGACCCTAAATACAAGCTTTCTAGTTCTCTCAAATTATTATAGATTACATTTATTGGTATCAATTGTATTATAATTCTGACAGTTGATAAAATATCCTCAACCCATGAAAAGTCTATATCAATGTCAATGTGTTCAGATGTATTTTCCTAAATGTAAAGCAAAAAAAAAAAAAAAATTATAAATAAACGTTAATGATATAAAACTTAGTTTTATAACATCATCTATTAAACCTAAAAATTCTATTTTTAATAACGACCAGAGGGCATTAAAGCTTTCCATTGATGAATTGTTCTGTGGCTAAATGTTTTTAGTGGCAGTTTATCATAACACCACTTATCACCTCTTAATAAGCAGACAATGTTCATTACCCAGAACCCACCATTAAAAAATATTTAAGTTTAATACTTAGAATGTCATTACCAGAACTGTGCATCAATATTCTGAAATATTGAATGTCATCTATTAAAATTAATTTTGTCCCTAAATAATTTTAAAAGTGTATTTAAATTTAAAGGATAGTTATAGATTTGTAGGTAATTATTATATATTTATTTCCTAGTGGAGTTTAGGATAACGTATTGTAAGCAATTAACTATTGACTAAACCACGCACCAACAAAAAAGATTAATTTTTTTATTCTGTTAATACTGTTTACTCTTCAAATATTCCAAATACAAAATATCACTATTAATATATTATCATTTATTCCAAATAATCCTTTTCTAATAATATAGAAATATATTTTTTATCGAATTTTATTGAAGTTGAATTACATGATTCATTCTATAGTTTGTTCTAAATGAGATCAGTACAGGTGCCACCTACAACGCATGGGGGTGGGCTTTGTTCCGTGGGGGTCTGCGCAATGYTAAACAAAACCGATCACGTACATGTATCGATYTCATTTTGAACAGAGTACAGTAGTCAACTATAACAATTATATTATTTTTAATTTTGTAATCTAAAAAAAAATCTATTGTTGATAGTAATTTTTTTTTGTTATAAATTTATATACAGGTTTAATTATAGACTATTATTTGTACTTTTTAAATCCTTAATTTGAATTGGATATAATTTTTTGATACAACGTAAAAAATGGGTTAATAAGGCTTTAACAACTTTGTCATTAGCCAGTGATAATTACAAAACATTAGCCTATGACTATGAGAGGATACATTATGATAAACAGTGAAGGAAGTATAATATGTGTATATAAATATAAATATAATTTTGTTTCACTTAAATTTTTTTATAAGGTATCCTAGGTTATAGTCCACTTTTGAATTTTTTAGGTGCATTACCGGAGAATGAGACAAAGGATAGTTTTAATTGGTTATTAACAGTTAAGTTAGTGTTGAAAAATACAGTAATATGATTTTGCTTATAAAACGGATAGGAATTTTTAGGCCTTAGTGAAGATAATTGTTTGTGAAGTACTAAGAGGAAGACATAAATTATAGATTAGTGGATTGAATTAAAAATTAAAATATTTCATGGATTGAAACGCCATAAGTGTTTTGATATTCCATGGCTTTGCAGAACTCCATAACTGAAACCATACATCCAAACTGGTTGAATTAATGACTTGTAAATGATAAGTTTTATTGGATAGGAAAAGTTTGGATTTCAAGAGTGATCCTAGAAGCGAGAGTTAACAGTTTTAATGCTAAAACGAATAGAATAGGTTTTATTTAAAATAAAAATAAACAAATTTCTTTCAATAAATAATTAAAATAATTTATTATTAATCACATAGATGTTTTAAATATTAATGGACGGATTTTGAAATATGTTACAAATTTGAATTTCTTCGACTTAACAACTAAATGCAATATCTACAAAATATTACAAATCCTTCCATATATTTTGTTTGTTAGTTCTAAAATGGCATTTGTCATTAAAAAATATTGGGAATTCATAAATAACGTTATATCTTCATCTATTATTATGATGCAAGTATTATTAAATAATATTTTTTTTTAATTTTTAYTAATATAAATTAATACTATGCACGTATACCATACAAATGTCATATTAGAACATTTACAATTTTAAATTACCTTAACTGTTGTTCTATACAACACCTACAAACTATGGCACAAACGGTATAAAACATAAAAGTTACAAAAACTAAATACTTAAATTGTTATGTAAATACAAAATTAAATGAGGACGGCATACATTCATTTTAAACTAAATGTATAATTTAAGAGTTAAACTTTAGTTATATTGCAGTAAAAAAAAAAAAAAAAAAAAAAAAAAAAAAAAAA